ACTCATTTCTAACTTGACAAGCATGATTTGCAAGTATCAAAACTTGTTTCAGAAACTCTGTGGGGCTGTATTTTATATCTGGGAAAAGTAGTTGAGATTAGTAGAATCCAGTTTCTTTGCTCTCAGGATTTTGTGGTTTTTTTTTTTTTTTTTTTTTTTTACTGTGAACTTTGTTAACAAACTTTTCTTCCTCAGTCTAGAGCAGATTAAATCATTTGAAGCACCTGCTACAATCAATTCTGCATCTCTTCACCCTGCGAAAGAATGTTTGGTTGCAGGTGGTGAAGATTTTAAACTCTATAAATATGACTATAATACAGGAGAAGAATTAGGTATGTTTGTCTCCTATAATCATAAAGGAGTTCTGAAATAGGTATTAATAAAATAATGACCGGTAAATGAAACTGTTGTACTCAAATGAGGTCTTAGCATAGCATGCTGTGCTAAGGAGGATGATAAAAAGGTATATAATCCGTTAAACATTTTTTGCTATCTAGTATACCTAATATTCTAGAACTAATTAAAATACCCATTCAACAATTCTGCACCTATTTAAAAAAAAAATCCTCATTTTGTATTGCTATAATAGCTGTATGCTAAATTTTCATACTCTTCATTAGATATGTCAGTTACAAGATTTTATGAAAAATACGATGTGTTGGCCAAATTTGTTTCTAAAAAAGCACATTTTCTTACTGATCCAGTCCTCATTTAAAATTGTTTGTGAAAGGAGTGGTTAAAAGACCAGAGTATGTCTACCCTGTGCAGCTGGCTTGCTGTGCAGTTTTGTCTAGAATAACTAAGCACCTTTTTCCTTGCAGTTAATGAAACATTAATATCTTATTTATTAAATGCCTAAAGTAGCCATTGCTGACACACCCATTCATGGAAACTCTGTTTTGTATCAGAAACTGATCAGTTTGTACTTAAATTTCAGTTGTTGGCTGAAAGTTGAAATTGACGGTGTTGACATGTTCCCTTCAGAATCTTACAAAGGGCACTTTGGTCCCATTCACTGCGTGAGATTTAGCCCCGATGGAGAGTTATATGCAAGTGGCTCTGAGGATGGAACACTAAGGCTGTGGCAGACAACAGTAGGGAAAACCTATGGCCTTTGGAAGTGTGTAGTTCCTGGTAAGTGTGTGCTGGGTCCTGGGGAAACTTGGCTACTTTGTGTGCACTTTTGAAGTGATATCTATCATTAGTGGTGAACGCTGAGTTTCATACAGTAACTCCTCTCTTCTGAGGGTTTCTGATCTACTCATATTTGTTAGATTGAAGGATGTACTTCTGTAGCTGTCATGTAAGCAGTTAACATTACACCCATAAGGTTTTTGAATATAGACATTTTGTGGGTATTTAAACCAAGAGCCTGATGTATTTCTGTGTGAAAGAGTGAGAAAGATGTGATACCACTTCTGTAATTCTGAAAGAGGGACTCTAGAAGTGTGGATGGTAGTTTTAATTTATATTGTACTCTGGTTCTTTCAGCTTGGGGAGAGGAAGGCAATAACTACATGTGGATATTCATTAATAGAATTGCTTGCTCAAGTGTTTCTCCTCAACACTGAATTACATAGAAATGACTTTTTATTAATTAAGGTTTGTGGGTGAAACTGAAGGTATTGACTGTTTGTTTTTCTGCTCTTTCCCTACAGAAGAGGAGAATGCAGAAGCAGCAAAAGCAAGGACTACCCTTCCAGGAACTGCAGAGGAGGAAATAGGTAATGACCTGAACTGTCAGCTTCAACTACTTCAGTGTTAAAAGATAGTCAAGATGATAGCATTCCTTAGTATGAAAGAAGTACTTTCCCTCAAGTGCTTTCTGGTATTTTTCTAAAGATCTTTGAATGCATTTGCCTGACATTGATTATGTGGTAAGTGTCAGACTGGAGCTGTGCAGGCAGAACAGATGGGGTAGAACAGCTGGGTCAGGTTGAATGGGAAAACAAACTGAACTGGTCTCTTTAAGCAATCCTTGCAACATTTCTTTGGTTTCTATATCTAAAGTGAAATTAAATAACACCCTTTTTATTTAGTTGCAGAAGAGATTGCCTCTGAAAACTCAGATACAGTGTACAGCTCAACTCCTGAAGTGAAAGCCTGATTACTGCAGCTGTTATGTGACACGTGGACATGCGAGACTAAATCAAGTGAGCAGTGACAGACAGCAGCCTTCCAGAGTGCGCTCCCTCCGTGGGGCAAAGATGGGCAGTAATTGATGAGAATGCAGTGGAACTGGCTAGGTGTTGTCTGTAAGAGAACTCAGCATCCAAATAAAAACCCAAAAGACAAGTAGTAGAGTTCTGCTGGCTTTTTGGCATAACTGCCTACTGTCTTTTCAAAGAAGTGTGCAAGCCAAGATCCAGTCTCTCCAATCTCAATTAGACTCATTGTAGTGTGTTTTCATTATTACAAAGAAGAGATACAATGGCTTTTACCTTTTTTTTTCTTGGAAGTTGGAAAAATTGGCTCTAGTTGAAAAGAAGGGATTATGTACTTAAAAGTATTTGGTTCGGGTTTTGTTTCATTGTATGCTGCTTCTGAATGTTTAACTGTTTTCAGTTGTCTAAATAAAAAGCCTCTCCAAACTCGTACATTAATTTTGAGCGTTGGGTTCATGAAATGGAAAAGCAACTGCATTAATCACGTAATCCTTGGCATCTTGGGTTTGTACTATACAGAGAGAAAGCAAAAGAATGTTTTAGTGTTGGTACAGAGGGTGGCAAGTTTTTTGATCTGTAAGCTTTGTATCTTTTTTATTCTTTCAAGTTTGAATGTAAACATGAGTCTCTAAAAAGAAAAACAGTGAAAATTCCTAAATTAAACGTGCTGCCTGAAGTATTTGGTTGTACATGAAAATATCAGAGGCTGGCTGCAAATCTGTGTAAAGCTTGGGTTTAGTCCTCCAGACTGGATAAAAAAGTTACTCTTTCAAGGTTACAAATCATATTTTCTTCATTAAAGAAAATAATTGCCATTCTTCCACTTGTCATTTCCTTTAATGTTATGCTGAAAGCTTTACATAATGCATTCTGTATGGTAAGAGGTATTATTTATTCACACACCTTTTTATTTTTTCATATTCATACTTGTCCTTACTGTCCTGTTTTTGCAGACTATACCTATTTGCAATTACCTATTTGAATTTTATTCTAAAAACAAGCAACTCTGATTTACAGTTAAATGGTTCAGTCTTGCTAATTCCACTAAGACTTCTGAGGGCTCCATGTCTAGTATTTGAGCATAAAAATTTTAATTTAGAAATTGGATGTGTTTAAAATATGGGTTTTTGAACACCTTGCTCCATGGTGGAACTTCTTGCATGCTGTGGGTTTTATTCCATATTTGCAGTAGGTTCTATAGCATTTCATAGAGAGGTCTGGAATAGAATCTCAGAACCATTTAACTGAGGAAGAAAACCTTTAACCTCAAGTCCAGCTGTGAACCTAGTTGTTCCCAAGTTCACCAGAAAACCGTGTCCCTTATTCTGCATTTATGGCTTGCTCTGGGATGCATAAAAATGAAACAGATAATAATTATAGAAACCTAATACTTAGTAATGGCTACTAAAATACTGGAAAATTGAAAAAAAACCAACAAAACTAAAATACTGGTATGAGCAAGTGTTTGAAAAATCACCAGTAAGGGTACCAGCAAAACCCAGATTTAATATTAAGTAACAGGACAACAAAGTTTGTTGGCAAGATTCCCTCTGCTACTTACAGGACAGTTAAGGTACGCCAAGGAAAAACAAGCAACAACAAAATCAAACAAACTCCAGGCAATCAAAACAGAAATTAACAGAGTACTGTTTAGAGGGATGTGTCTGTGTGCAAGTGCCAAAAGGATAGTAAGGGTGAGGATAAAAGAAATAAGCTTTTAGGCTTTACCAGCACTCAACAGTAGTGTTAACGTCTACCTTAAACCTAACAATTTAGCAGAGGAACAGCACTTAACATAAGCCACCTAACTTAGAAATTTACTGTAACAATTTAACAGAAGAATAATACTTAACAGCATTTAACCTAATTTAGGACTTAACCTTACTTACAAGCCTAATTTACTTGGACACCTAAGGTAACAGTATTTCATCCCAGACACAGTTAGAAAGCGTGAAAGTGTGGGAACAGGGACGTTGTGCTGTTAGGGCTAGAGAAATAATTTCCAAGGCTGTTCCTAAAGAAAACAAGAGCTCCCTAGACAGCAGCAGTTCCTGGAAGCAGACAGTGTTTCTGATGAGCTCAGGAGGAGCCGAGCTCAGTGCTGTTTGTCAAGGCCAAGGCATTACAAGTATTTCTTAGATGACAGTGTGGCCTGGAAAAGGGGGAGGAGGAGGATGCAACGCCACAAGTACTTGAAAGCTTGTAATTTTTGGACTGTTTAAATACACAGTGCAAATGGTATCTATACATCTAGAGTGACTGTTGTCTTTTAAACCATTGCTTCTCAAAGCACACATGCAGTTTTGGTATGAGAAAAGCGAAAAAGAAGTGTTCTCATGTTTCATAGCTATGGCCCTTTCCTGCTTTACCCGATGCCGTTGTGAGTTTGAGGTTTCTTTAAGTTGGAAACTGTTTAATCTAAACGTCAATATTAACAATGTACAATATAAACAATGTATTTTTCATGAAACTTTGTGTATTTTTTCCAGATCTGGAAAAAAATGTAAAGGCCATGAAGTTTTCAGTGGCTTTGTTAGCAGAATTTCATTCTGCAGGTACCACTAGAAGTTTTACAGGTTGGCATGTTTATTAACCCCATGTGTATGTGCGGCAGCAGCTCCTCCTTGAATCAACACGAAGACACTGGACAGTGCCTTGACTCATCCCCAACAGCAGGTTCAGCCTTTCCAAAGGAGCGGAATATCCCCGTTCCTGCTGAGGAAAGGAACATGCCCGCAGCAGGGCCGAGGTGCGGCCGAGCCGGCCCGGCCCCGCCGCTTCCTGCCCGAGCGGGGCGGGCCCGCAGCCGGAGCTCCGGGGGCGGAGAGCGGGGCCATGGCCGGCCGGAACCCGGGCACCGAGCTGGGTAAGGGAGCGGCGGGGCCGGGGATCCCCGGGGGGCGCTGCGGGGCCCCGGGACCGGCGGAGCTGTGCGGGGCCGTGCCGGGCCACGGCTCCCCGTTCCCGGCCGAGCCTCCCCCGGGCGGCTGCGGGACCGCGTTCCTCTGAAAAGCCGAAATAGGAACAGCACTGGGGTTCTGTGCGTGTTCTGACACATCCCGTGACGGGTAACCGGGAAGAACACGAGTTTCTGTGTCACACACGGCTTTGGCTTTAGGGTTCCGAGTAGGGTCAGAGGTTGTAGGACAGCTCTGTGCCCTGGTCTTGTCCCTGCAGGGTCAGAGGTTGTAAGACAGCCCTGAGTCCTGGTCGTGTCACAAAGCTGGACCTGCAGGGTCAGAGGCTGTAGGACAGCTCTGCAGTCCTGGTCCTGTCCCTGCAGGGTCAGAGGTTATAGGACAGCTCTGAGCCTTGGTCCTGTCACAAAGCTGGACCTGTAGGGTCAGAGTTTGTAGGACAGCCCTGAGTCCTGGTTCTGTCACAAAGCTGGACCTGGTTCTCTCTTGCATGCTGTTCTGGTTCTCACAGGATTCTTCCTCCCCTCTTTCTCACCGAAATTAAAACCACTGAATTTGGGCTCTGATTTGCAAACTCGAGGCTCCACCTCTTCTGATCGTTCTTGTTGCTTGCTCTCTGGGGAGTGGTAAGGATTTTCCAGGTGTTTGCAGCTGGTCTCTGGGCCTGAAAGGTGGCTGTGCCTGAGATAAGGCAGAGAAAGACTTTCTCTGCCTTTTCCTGGCTGGAGCTGCCTTTCTCCTCGTTGCTGGGGAAGGGGAAGGTGCTACAGCTTCCTCAGCAAAACCCAGCTGCAGCAGTGGGATGAATTGAAGCGGTGGGACTTCCTCCAAGATGTGATAATTTGGTCATGATGTGAGTAGGTAGACAATGAAATAGAGGAGACACAGGGGTGGCCTCATGGAAGAGGGGGAGCAAAGGCCAGCTGGTGTGGAACAGGCAGGTCTCAAAGCTGGCATGAGCAGAGTTCAGGAGATTGTGGTGTCACGTGCCTGTTATGACAACAAGCACAGGCACTTTTAAATTATTAGCCTGTGGATGGACAAATGAGAGCTATGTTTCCATTCACTGAAGTTGTGGAAATGTTGCAGGTTTCAAAAGTGAGCTGTGTAATTGCTCTCAGATGTCCTCATTCAGGGGCTGCTTGTAGGTACAGGTGAGTTTCAACTGCAGCCATCCGAAGAGCTGAAACAAACATTAATAATGTAGTTGACAAAACATCAGTGTTAGGAAAAACAGCTAGCACAAAACTGCAAATACACTCCAGTTACTTTAAACTCGGGGTGTGTCATGCTTTTTCTTATAAATTCAAGCTTAAAATTTGTTGATGTGTGGGGAATCCAGAAGCTTGAAGGTGAAGTCAGCTCAGTTCTGATACTTGCTGTCATCCCTTCCCAGGGATCTTTGTTTAAACCAGTTGCGGTCAAAACGAGCTGGGTTAGATGTTCAGGGCAGGTGGAGGAAAGGCAATGGTGTGGGTGTCACCATGTCTAAGTGGCAGCTTCTAGCCTCTGCCTTATGCTGGCTGCTTTAAAGAGAGAACTGCACCTGCCTGCCGTTTGCTCTCCCACTCAGTACATATCTGAAATACAGCAGCATACTAAATTCAGCACTTAACATATCTTAGTGCTGTGCCTTAGCTGGTAGCAGTACTCAGAAAGAACAGGGCAAACCCTTACCTTTATCTTTCATGGTTGCTAGCAATACTCACTGCTTTTGTCACTTCAGCTTTTGAAGGTTTTACAAACCTGTGCCAGCAGCTTTAATTCAGGTGATTTGCCCTGTTTCCCACACAGTTTTGTGCAAAATTAGAGTTTTCTAACAGGGACATCTAGTGGTAAAATGTATTTTACTTAAAAATGCATTGTTTGTGTCCTTTTCTGTTTCTTGCTTGCTACATAATGTCGGTATCAAAGCAGGAGGTGTCTGATGTTGCCATTAGAGAGGGTCTATTTGTTTATCACTGACAAGCCAAACTCTTCACAAATCATTGCATGTAGTGCTTTCCTGTGTGATTTTTTAAAAAATAAATACATTTTTGTAAAATTCCTTGATTCTTCCCTCCTTATCTCCTTTCCTCGTACCCATCACTGTGCCTTAGTAGAAGAAGAACTAAAGAACAGGTGTATGTTCCACAGATGAAAAGACCCTGATGTGCGCAGTCAGAGGCTCACCAGCCTCATACACTGATACATTTGCCATCCAAGAGTGGTGCAAAGAAGCTGGACAAAGAGTTTTACAAGTTTTCCGTTCCACAAGGACTGTTTGCACAGCTTGTGTGCTGGGGCTCACCACGATGCCTGCAGGGATGGGAATGAATCTGCCTCTCCTGCTCTGCAGGGCCTCTCTCCTCCTGCAGGGCCCTGGGTTATAACAGCCCAGATGTTTACTGTTTTGTCATGCTTCAGAAGAGTATCAGCTGCAACTTCATTGTCACTTCACAATGAAATATTGGAACATATCAGTGAGTATCTGTTTTGGAAGGGAAGCTGCTTTGGTTTAACTGTGAGGTGCAGACACCTGGGGACACATCCCCTCTGCCCAGCACTTGGAATGTACATGGAATATTTGGTCCAGTTTCTCTTTCCTGTGGCATTCACATTCTCTGAAAAAATCCCTTCACCCAGGATTTTTCTCCTGAGAAGCCTCAGAGAAAAGGAAAACAAATTCTTATTTGTTTCTCCTGTGTTGTGCTCATGTGGAATGTATTTGGAGATTGTTTAGCCACAGGTGATTGTTTCATTGGATTCTGGTGTGAATTGTTTTCACTCTTTGGCCAATCAGTGCCAAGCTGTGTCGGGACTCTGGAAAGAGTCACGAGTTTTCATTATTATCTTTTTAGCATTCATTAAGTATCCTTTCTGTATTCTTTAGTATAGTATTCTTTAATATAATATAGTACTATAAAATAATAAATCAGCCTTCTGAGAACATGGAGTCAGATGCATCATTCCTGCCTTCATTGAGGCATTCCCAGCAAATACAATACTTTCCAACAGGAAAGAGAGATTGATAAAACTGTCACAGCTTCAGCTGAGGCACAGCACAATGGGGCTGGGCCTGGAGTGCTTGCTCTGTGAGGAAAGGCTGAAATATTTCCTGGTTTAGCCCAGGAAAATGAGGGAGAGGAGTTCATACTGGATATGAGGGAAAACTTGGGGCAGAACAGTCAGGTGCTGGGACAGGTTGGGCTCAGAGAGGCTGTGCAATCTCCATCCTTGGGACTCTCAAAACCCACCTGAATAAAGCTCTTAGCAGCCTGGTCTGACCTCAGAACTGATGCTGTATTGCACAGGAGGTTGGATAATTGATCTTTGAAGGTCTTCCAAATTATTCTACAATTATATGCTTTATTACCTCTGTGTGTCTATGTATGTCTGAATATATATATTTATATATACACACACATTTATGTATGTATTCTGAGCAATGAGTGATTAATTACAGTTGTTTTGCAATGTTCTTAGATTCTTAAAAACCCCCATTATCTATCTGTGTTGCTCTGACCCTCTAGCTGAAGGGCCAAAAATACATTCATTATGTTTCAATTTATATATTTTTAATTATAGCTGGTATTTCTGAGCCATCTACATGTGAGAGCTAGCTTGTTGGTAAGTGGCATTTAGATAATGAAGTGTTACATCCCTTTTCAAAACAGCATAATTCTGTTCTAATATATTAATAGCTGGTTTTAGTCTGTACTGTGGCTCTGGTTCTTCACTGTTCTAACACCTTTTGAATCTGGTTGGTAATTTTAATCAAATGTGAAGGACAAGTAGATTGTCTTGAAAATAAGGCCCTGGGTGGAGTGACCAAATCAGTTCTTTTGTTGAGGGAAAAGCAGGTACAGATCAGAAATTACATGAATTTTCATTGCTACTGTTTTATTTTGGCCTTTATGGCAGTAAAGGAGTCCTGTTTTACTCATGGGTGTAAGTACCACATGAGGATAGCTGGGTTTTTTGGTTGAGGAGGTGTCTCAAGAAGAGAGGGAACAACAGGGGACTTGGGCCTGCAGGAAACCAGGTCCTGATGTTCTCCCTCTCACTTCCTGAGAAGTTGGTGGTTCCCAAAGTGCTTTGGAGGAGGACACCATGATCCATTTTGTGTGATCCATGGACAGCCCTGTGTGATTTCACCGATGGCACGAGGCAGAAGAGCTGATTTCTAGTTCAGGGCTCATGCTTTGAGTATCTGGATGCTGATAACTTGGAGACTGAACTTATGTCATATAAAAGACAGACTCACATGAAATTGAGGATCTCTTGGTCCATATCAAGTGTTGCTCTGGAAAAATAATATTAACTTCTGTCTTGACAAAGCTGAAAGCCCCCAGATCTCTAAACATCTTACATGGTAAGACAGCTGTAACAAGACCTGATCCCAAAGCCTTTTCTCCCCTTTCAGTGGCTTTGCTCAGCTCTGTGTGGCCAGCTGGGGTCAGCCTGCATCCAGCTGAGCTCCTCCCTTCTCCAGGGAAGGTTCAGGACACAGTTTGAGTCTCTCCTCCCGAAATAACAGCTTTCATCACTTCCCTTCCCCGTTTGATGGTGTGCTCATGGTAAGAGCAGGAGCACACATGCTGTCTCTGGCACACAAAATGAAATAACCACTTGAGGGGGGCAGCTCCTTTTGGGAACAGTGCTGCCTTAAAATGCTTGTGAAACTATTGCCTCAGGCATTCTTGAGCTTTCTGTTTCACCATCTGAAGGGATGCCATCAACACGTTTTTTTTAAAGCTTCTCTAAGGCTTAGTCTGTTTTATGAGGAATGTGTTAGGAAGCTTAGATATTTATGTAATTATCCTAATGAAGTGGTTTTATTTATTGTTTTCTGAGGAAATGCTCGGTATTTTTGGATTCGTGTTCTTCAAAGAGAGGAGATGAATTTCCTGTTAAGGAATTGAATATGATTTTTTCAGATGTCTTCAGAGAAAAAAGTGAACTAGAAGAGTGATTACAGAATATTGGCTAATTAGCTGTAGTGTAACTGCTTTAATTACTTTTATCCCTGAAGCCACATGACTGTGCAGATGACTAGCAGATGACTTATTTAAAAAAAAAAAAAGACATGTTCACACTGCAAGGTTAATGAGCCTAATTAAATATAGTTTTCCTTAGCCAGATACTAAATCATAAAGCTTGGGGGAGTGAGGGAGGGGGAGAATCCAAAGGCAGTCAGTTCTATTTCAAAAAATGGTTTTATTCTGATATTTAATGAAAAAAAGAGAAAAGCTGGAATTATGAGGGATTTTTCTGAATAAAGGCGCTTAGATCTAAAGATTTGATGAGACCTCACATGGCAAAATTTGAAAGTCTATTTAGAGACAATTATGCTGAGACATATTTGTTTTCACTTACCCATTGCTTTAATTAATGTAGGAATGGGCTTGAATAAAAGGTCTGTGTTATATGGAAGTCTCCATCTGCTGCTGCACATTACCAGAACCTTTGTCCTTCCTTGCCGTGCCATTTTTATTGCACCATTTTATTTCCTGTAGTAAAAGCTGCATGATGTCTCACATTAAGTTGTACAGAAGGGATGGAGTTCTGATTTTTTGTTAAATTATTCCTTTTTTTTTAAATTTTCTGCCTGTGCACTGTGGTTTGAGTTTCCACACTCAAAAAAAATACTTGGAGATCCACATTCTGTGGTCTTGCAGAGACTCTTGCATCCCATGCAGAAAAATTAGATATTAGACATTACTGAGTTGCCATGTGTACTTTTGTGACTAGCCTTGAGTCCCTGAGAACAGAGGGGAAAATGTGTCAGACAGTGAAAAGGACTTAAACCAATGGATTTTGTCATATTTGCAAAGAACAACCAGTGAGCTATTGCTGATCAGCTGATATTTGGTGACTTTCACAGGTGATTTTGGGCAAAGCAAAAGTAGTAGCTCATTTCCACTTCCACTCTCCTTCCACACCTTTTCTCCCATTTTTTTTTCTCCAAATGGATTTATAGTTGATTATTTCCTTTAAGCTGATTTAGTGTGCAGGGCTCTAACATCTTAAAAAAATTGCTTAGACCTGAGTCAGGATGCTCAAGGGTCAGGTTGGGTAGATAGAACAGCTTTATCAGACTGAATCCTCTACCAACAATGGCTAATGAAGAATTAACCTACTCATGGGAAAAAATTGTGTCCTTTCATTTAAATTTTCACCTCAAACTTGAATTTTCCCTAACAGACTGGACACTGTCTTCACTTCTTCACTGTCGTCTTCTCCCAAATAATTGTTTTTATAAATCATTTACTACTTGCTTTTCCTGGTTGTTTCAAAGTGTAGAAAGAATAGGTTAGAGCAGACCAGCTGAAAGAATCCTTATTAGAGAAGGAGAAGCTGAGTTCTTCGCCTAAACTACTTCCTTTGGTTTTAGAACATTTTCCAAAGGGGCTGAAAGTTCACCATGCACCCAGAAGGGTTCAAAAGTTATTATAATAAATGGGATTATGATTAAATGATGCTACCTCAGCGCTTGGCACACGTGGCAGAAGAATCATAACACAGGGATTGTGTGTCCCTCCTCTATATATTGATTTATGTGTGTTTTCCTTCCACGTGGATTTTGTCAAATATATCCTGATAAGCAAAAAAGGAAGAAAGTTGTAGCCATGGTTTTTTTAGCAATTTTTTCTCACCTGCTTTCTACAAATCAGCTGAGCTGAGCTCCTTGTTTTGGGGACAGAATGGATAAACCCCTGACTTTGAACTTGGAAAGAATAACAAGGGTTTGTTGTTTGACTTGCTTGCAACTTTCCAAACTCCCTGTTTTCCTTGTTGCCATGCAGTGAGTCTGATGCTAAAAAAAAAAAATCCATAAATGCAATCTTAAAAAAAAATCCATAAATTCCTTAGGATCCCTTTGAAATTCCTTCTCTGATTTATTTGTTCTGCTTTTAGCTAACACTTTGTGGGTACCAGTCACTAATAGTTTGTATGTGGTAATAAGACAGTGGTAGCTTACTTATCCTCAAAACAAGATTTTCTTCAGCTGTTTCATGTTGTCCTGCATTTCCTCTGAGTCATCTTTACCCTAAATTGGTTTTTGAAAGTCTAGGAAAACAAGCTTTTATTTACACTTACTTTGGCTAGTATATTAGTTTCTACATTTTTTTGGCTATTAAAGCTATTCAGTAGGCAAAAAAATAGTATAAGATTTCTGTACAAAATTAGTGATTTTGTCTACCAGCTTTTTTTTTTTTTAAGTTTTAAACATTTTTTTAATCAATATGCTCAAGGGAAATGCAATTTACCACCGTAGTAAAGAAGATTCATAGAGTGACTGCTCTTAATAAATTCAGTCACCCAGAATTATTATCTCCTAGTACCTGTCTATGCCCATGTCCATATTCTGACCTTAGCTGGGGGTGATATTTGATGATTGGTGGTGGTGATTTGCTGATGATTGGTGGTTAATGATTGTTGATGTTATTTTCAGAGTGTTTTCATGGAATGCTTGTAGGATCGGTATTTGAAGAATTATTTACATTTTGAGATGTGAGAGATTTTAAAGATGCTCCAGGTTTCCTGTGTACTCTCATATTAAAATTTACACACTAGATTTACCATACTAAGCAGAAATGTAAAGATTCAAGAGCCTGAACCCTTAGTTCTCCTTTTTCAGTCAGTTACCCTTTGTTAAGCAGTGGCAAATAATTGGTTCTTGTGGCTCTGGACAGTTTCATTATTTTAGTACAAGCTGTGCATCTGCTGCTCTTTGGGAATTCTGGAATCTAGAAATAAGCCATCAAGCAGTGGCAGAAGGCTGTTTTGTAGGTTTTTTTTTTTTTTTCATGCTACATGTGTAATAAATTTATATTTAAGTCTACAAGACAGTGTCTCTGTCTCATCAGCACTCAGTTAATCCACTTGTAATGGCACACAGAATATGCTGTGTGAAATATCCAGTGCACAGATCATCCCCTAGCAGAAGCTGAGGTTATTTTGGACTGGTGATAAGCACACAAGCCATTAGAAGGACATGAAAGTACAACACTCTCTTCAGAGGCTCCAAACTTTCTACAGCTTTCTTCTGAAGTACCACACCATATATTAAAAGAACACAGAAATAGATGAGGCTTTATTTTTTGTTTGTTTTTTTATCTCTCCCCAGAACTTGGCTGGATCTCAAAAGTGTATGTGAATCGACCTGCAGTGGTGAGGCATGCAGAGCAAATTAAAAAATGGAAAACTCTGAAAGGTAATTGGCAAGTAAGTGCTCTTCTTATGCATTCTGTTCCTGTATTTTTAAAGCAGTCACTCTCCCTCTCCAGGCTGTAATATTGAATTTTTTTCAAGATACATGTAAACTTAAAAGATGTGCTTGTCCATGTCTTATTTTAGTAATTTGTATTTGATGATGATGGGATGGAATAAGGTGATGCATTTATCCAAACAAGTTAAAAACCATATAACTCATGACTGGCAAAACTGCAAATGGATTTAAGTCATCTTTATTCATGAGTGGATTAAATTGTGTATTACTATCCCTCCACATTTATTCTGTTTTCCAGACAGACTTCTCTGCATGCTGCCTTCTTATTTTTTAATTTTAAAGCTGTAAGATATGATCATGGTCCCTGTCAAATTTGACCTACCTGGATGATTTTTCTTTGCTTAAACATTCTCAACGTGTGTGATTTCATTGCTTAACGAGTTTTTTTAGCTAAAAATCAAAAATCCTGACTGGCTGTGGCATTTGGTGGGGGGAAGGAGCCCACTAATGTTAGGAAACTGATTTTCAGCTGCTGAGATAAGGTAAATGGTTGGTTATTGTCCATCTTAGTATAAAAAGACAAACTTTTTCTCCATTCACCAAGCAGCTGTTCTGCAAACAATGCTTGGGATGCCTCCTCTCTGCACACTGAACAACTTGTTTATATGCAAGAGTAGCTGAAAAGCAAGAGGAAGGAGATGACGAAGGATGAATCTTAAGAGTGGAATGTAACAGAACAAAGCCAGAATCATTTAATTATACTCAATTCTTTAAAAAGTTGTTCAAAATAGTTGAACATTGTGCAGCCATTCTGAGGTGGCTGAACCTGTGTTCACAACGAGCACAGATTTTGGGATTACAGTTTGGGGATAATTTCATGTAGGAGTAAGGTGCTGCTGGAAGGTGATAGAAAAAAAGTTTCCTGCCAGCTTTTCCTTCCTGAAAGTTTGTGCTTTGTGTGTTATGATTAAATTTTAAAAAATGGAGATAAACAGAGGAGATTTAGACACCAGCTCAGCATTTCCTTAGAGTTTCTTATGATGCCTTGTGAAGGCTGAACTAGGACAGAGACTGGACAGAATTAAAGAATAAAGCAGGGATTTATTAAAAGGCCTCAATGGATCCACCTTGGGCAGCACAAGAGCCCAGCCAGAGCTGCACCCAAAATGGTCCCAAAATGCACGAATGGTCATGGGGTCTCTCACTTTTATAATTTCTGCTCCATTTGCATCTTGGAGTTCATTGTCCAATTGCAGCTTCAGCCCGTGAAGCTTTAGCCCAATTCCAGCTTTAGCCCATTCAGTCCCATCCTGCTTGTTTTTCTCTCTCCAGCCCATGGTGTTTGTGCTCCTGGGCTGAGATTTGGATCATTTGTCCTTGGTGCCCAGCTGGAGCAGGAATTGTTTTGTCTCCCTGCTCTGTGCACAGAGCTCACCATCCCGTACTGTGAAGCTCAGAGCTCCATACTAAAGCAGCACAGAATCTGAAAAATATAAAAGCCAAAACCTGAGGCATCACTTATTCATAAAAAGTTACTTGATACCAGGTTTATCAGCACTGATTTGGGAAATAGCATCAGTGAGCAGCTCCAGATGGATAACCATGGCTATCCTCTGGAGTACCACAGGTGCAGTAATGTAAAAACAAAGTCTTCTTTTGACTGAGGATGCCATAAATAACAAATACAGAGAGCTATAGGCTTTGATTACAGGGACTCATTGGGAAGAAAGGGATTTTGTGTCACTCCCACAACACAGCTGGAAAACAGATGTTTATTCCTAACACTTCTCCACTCTCCTATGTAGAAATACAGGAAAGAAAACCAAAGAAACAAACTGAGAAACACAGAAACCCAAGCAAGGCTTTACTTTGAAGGGTGTCAGAAGCATCTCTCCTCTGTTTGAACATTGTCACAGCAGGGCGGTCATGTGCTGTTTTCTTAACAGAGCTGATTTTGAACCTGTACATGTTTGAATGTGAGCAGCATCACAGATCCAAATCCTGTAGCCTGTTTCCCAAAATACTCAATTGGAAAACCCTTTTAAAAAGCCTGACGTTTATACCAGTTCTTGAAACCCCCTGACTACATCTGTCTTTTATGACCGTGATTCATGGCATAGGAGAAGAGATAAAAATTCCCAAAATTCCCTCAAACAGAGGATAAAAACATCCAAGTAAAAGTAACATAAAACTATTTCTAGTTTCAAATAATTATAGGATGAAAGGAGGAAGCAGAAACAATCAGTCAGGCTTAGATTAACTGAGGCCAGTGATGGTTCATTACCCCATTGCCATTGCAAACTGTCCCCCTGTACAATTGTCCTGTAAGAGAAGTCAGCTTAGAGTGAAGCCATTGCTGTAAATGAGCATTTTCTGGAAGACCTTCAACAGATAATTCAAAATAATGTCTTAAGCTCAATTTTTGTTCAGCAAAAAAGAAAAACCATAAAATTTTTAGTTATGCTTCTGTTCCAATCTTTGATTAATAAGTCTTTTAAAATTCTGAAGCATTTCTATCTAAAGAGTGCTTTAACCTTGTCTCTTACCTCTTGCTTTTGGGGCTTTTTTTTGCACCAAAATTACAGATGTTTGTTATTCCTGGTTCACACAAAAAGAAGTGGATCCTTTTGAGATCCTTTTGAGGAAGTATCCTCTGTATCATTAAATACTGCTGAAGGAATGAACAAATATCAGCCAGCCTCTCTATCCTAAGCTATTATTTGCTTATATGTTACATCCTATACATTTCCCCACTGTCAGAGTGAGAGCCAGGCTTCTGATTCCTGCACTTCTAAGGCGGTTTGGCCTTGGAAGTGCAAAGAGAAATGCTCCATTCCTTGCTTTGTTCCCTTTGCAGGCAGCCTGGCTGCTGAAAGCTGTCACCTGCATAGACCTCACCACTCTCTCAGGTGATGATACTCCTTCAAATGTTCAAAGGCTGTGTTTTAAAGCAAAGCACCCTATCAGAGAAGATCTCCTCAAAGCCTTGGACATGCATGATAAAGGTATGGTGGCTTTTGGGGTGTGTATTTTCTAGAGGAAATGTCTGTGTTTCCTCATTATTTTCTCACTTTTCAGAAAGGACCTTGGTCCACTGCTTGAAGTGGTGTGGACCAAAGAGAGATCAGGCCTCTGATTGAAGCCTTACACATAAAAAAATCAAAGATCAGTCTTTTTTTAAAAACTTGGATTTATGGACTCTTCAGACAGCTGAAGTATAAAATATGAGGTCAATTATCTGAGAGTTGGAGAGAAGAGCACTTTAGCTAGAAATGCAGGAGGGCTGCATTAACATAAAGACTGCTCAGTTGCTGCTGGGCTCAGTCTGGCTCCACAAGTAAGAGCAGAACTTGGCAGTGCAGTTTCTCTTGCAGCAATTTGCTGATCAAGCATAACTGTGATCAAGTCTTAACTGAGTGTGTTGGCATTAAACTGTGAGTCTGTCAATAAAAACTTTGGAGTTTTAACTCCTGCTAATGCAGACTTGCTCCCAGGGTCTGGTGAAGGGATGTGAGGGAGGAAACAGCACCAGAATTACCTGGACCATTGGAGCAATATAACAGACATCCCTGGTGTGCTGCTTAAATCCTTGTGAGAACATAGGAGTGGGAGGTGAGGACAATGCACATGTGCTCATGGAGAAGGTGGAATTCTCTGTATGAAAAAGGGAACTGTGGCTTTTGCTTTTGCAGGTATCACTGCTGCAGCAGTTTGTGTGTATTCTGCAAGAGTCTCTGATGCTGTGGGCACCCTCAAAGCTGCTGGTTGTACCATACCAGTGGCTTCAGGTAAGCGTTATTTAAAAATATCCCATTAAATAATCTGATGCTATGAAATACATAGAGAAATCCAGAAGTTTGGACTTGCTTTTGTGTCAGGGAGTAAGGTGAAAAGGTAACAGGTGGAAGGAAAGGAAAGGAATGGAAGGAGGATTTTCTTCTGGTATAATCTTTTGTTTTGTCTTCCAACTTCAAGCTTATCAGGAATGCCAAGTCTTTTTGCTGGAAGCTCTTCAAAGAGGCCTTTAAAATATATCAGTGTTTTTCTCACCTGGACAGAAGAAATTAAGATAGAGTGCTGGACAAGTATCAGTATACACTAAGTAGATGATGATGGTGATGATGTGAGTTCTAATAAAGGTTTATTTTCCCTATCATGTTTGGCTTCTAAGTGCAATCCTGTGTCAAGGTTTAGCCCAAGGCAGCAACTGTGTGCCACACACTCACTCATACAGCCATTTCCACGATGGAGGGGAAAAGAGAATTGGAAGAGTAAAAGTGAGAAAATTTGTGTTTTCAGATAAGAGCTGCCTTTTTGTGCACTCCCAGCCCACTCACCAAGAAAAGGCCTTGACTCTGTGCTGGCACTACTCTGCACTTACCAAACCATCCCTGGAGAGCCAAGGCTGTTTCCTGCACAAACCCAAACCAGCCCAGCCACAATGAGGATAACTATCCCAGCCAAAAGCAGCACATCCTGCAGGCTGACTCCAAGGAAGCTGTGAGCAGAGCCAGGGGCTGTTGCCTGCTGAGCAGCCATAGGTTCAGGACTTTCACACCCAAAATCTAACATGGTCAGCTCTTCTCCAGTCATCACACATGAGGGACAAGTCCTGAATGTGCAGGAAGCAAGAAGTACAATCAAAGAATTGCTCAGGTTGGAAGGCAGCCCTGGATGTGATCTGGTCCAAACCCCTGCTCAAAGCAGGGGCTGACTTTGAAGTTAGATGAGGTATTTAATGCTAAGAAACATGTGAGATTTCTGTTCTTGTTTCATTGTTGTGTAGGGGAAAAATATGTACTAAATGCATTTATATGTCAGAGAGAAAGACAATCTCTGACAAAGCCATTATTTTTTCCATTTCCAAAGTTATCTTTGTTTTTTTTACTTAACCATCATAAACATAATCTTAAATGGAACCCATTGAAAGCAATTTTTGCTGTATTGTGATTTAACCATTAAACAACATTATTATGATTTAAGTCAAGATACTACTTAAAAGAATTGGAGAAAATTAAAAATTTATATATTGCTTCATATCTGAGCTCACTCCTCGTTTGTTCAATCTGCTGGAAGCAATAGGTATTGTGCTTTTATCTAGGGTGTTCTGGAAAACATCAAGGCATGTGAAAGATCTTTTCACAAGATGCACTTGCCTTGCTGGACATGGGTTTTTGAGGGTAGAGCCAATGTTTCTTGTGGATGAAGAGACGGTAGGATGAGGTGCCTGTAAAATTTTTAAATCGTGGCAACCATTAAACAAAAAGAATAACATTCAAACTTCTTGGTGCATTACTGGTATTTTCAATTTTATGGTCGATTTCTAAAACTGTAACACATTCATGAAACATTTCTTCCTTCTATCTGCACCCCTTTCATGCTAGTGGCTGCTGGGTTTCCATCTGGACAAACTCCTCTGGAGACCAAACTGGCTGAAATAAGGCTGGCAGTGGAATATGGGGCCCGAGAGATTGACATTGTCATTAGCAGGAGTCTGGTGCTGACTGGCCAGTGGGAAGGTAAGTAAAAAAAAGTTCCTATGGCAAAGAACCTAAACCTGTCTATATGCACATGCCGGGTCTGTCTTTGTCTCTTCCCCAAATCTCTCCATCAGTTCTTGAAGTTTTTGATCTTTCCCCTCAGAGTAATCTGGGACTCTGAGCTAAATAAAAACTATTTAATAAAATTATAACAAAGGGTTGCATTTTTTGAGAGGAATCCTGTTGGAAGTTGTGGCAGGCTGGGCCGGCAGAATGACTTTGTGGTTTGAAAATTCCTATCTATTCCCTCCGTGCCTTTAGAGGATTTTGTGTACAACATTAAAAAAAAATAGCAAGTAAAAGACTAATTATTTGAAGAGTTTTGTTAGAAAGCCCAAGGGGCTGCTAATGTAGATGATACCTTTTAAAATATACATGTTTCATTTCTTGACGAAAACACGTATTTTAGTTGTTTTCTTTTTGTTGAAAGTTGAGGGAACAAATTGACTGTTCATATTATTATTGATGTTCTGGCATCTGTAGACGACTACTAATTAGTAGGAACAATAATGCTGAAGATGGTTTTTGCTCTAATTGCATCCTTAATGTACTGTGAATGGCTTGCCTTAAGTGCTGACAGTGCTCCTGTAACTAATCTCCATGTGAAGGTGGACACATCATTGTCTTGGAATGAATTTTCCATTTAGCTGTATAATGCAGTGCCAGAATATCCTATTTGCTTGGCAGACTTTATAATAAAGCCCTGGTACCTGACTTTATTTAAGGAAATAACAGAAATAATGGTAATAGATCATGTTTACTAGTCTTCTTGCAATTAACAGTTAGAATTGAACCAAAAACCCCCACATGTTTCTGCATCTGTGTCTTCAAGACTGGTTCCTTGCTGTAATATCTTGGCCTCTTTTGTAGTATTTGAAATCTCCATTCTTTTGGTCTTAATTATTTAAGGATTAATAATTTTTTTTTTAATATGAGGGAGAATTCAGAGGAGAAATACAGGCCTTGGATTCAGAGAGAGAGTTTGGATCATGACTGAAATGAATGGGATATGAATTACTCTTTGTGGTCACAAATTACAAGGGAGGAGTACACAGACACAGCAATGATAGATGTCATATAAAGCTGTCACTTTACTAAATAAGTAAATTAGGGACAGCTTTTAATTTGGTATGCATGTTCTTTTATCCAGAGCTGAAGTCTTGACAAGGTTGAAAGACAGCCTTATTTTATATATATATATATATTAAAGATATATTTATATATATACATATAAATATATATTAAATATACATTAGTGTATATTTTATATAAAGTATAAAATAATTCTATACAATTTATATACTATAAAATATATTATATAATATATTAGTATATTTATATATCAATATACTATTTATATTAAATATAAATATAAATATAGATATAAATATAAATAATATAATTTTTTTCACCAATGGCAGAATTCAAATTATTTCCAAATTATTTCCTAAGTTTATTTATGAATCTGAATCTGTTTGTGACACGTTTATGTGATCTTGAAAAAATGCTACTGCAGAGACAGAATTTACTTGCCATAGAGATGCCACAAGGTGAAAAATTACAATATTTAACTTTCCTATATAAAAATAAAGGTATTTCATCAGGTGATCTGGATATTTTGGTGAAAATCTAGTGTTCTGTCTTCCTGTTTAGCTTTCAGTAGATATGTTACCTGTGTGATTAGGAATAATTTAGAATAATCTATAAAATACATATAAGGAATCTAAAAGAAGAGACAAAAAAGGATTTTTTAGGCTAAATCCCTATATTACATAAAATTAAGTAGAGCAGTACCTGTGCCTGTGTTTTAGGTGCTTCATTAACTAAAGCTGCCTTGCAATTATATTATAACTTATGCTAATAGTAGTAGTCATTATAATAATAATAATAAAAACAACAATAATAATAATAATATGCTTCAATGGGTATTTTCTTATGCTGACAGTCTTCACAACCTCAGAAGTTATTGAAAAAAAATCTATGTGGTGGAGTGCTTTTTAGTTCATTTCTAGCTTTTCTTCTAGCCTGTGCAATAATTGGGGTCACCACAATAGAATAGTGTTGCTTTGTGATTTGCTTCAAAGGCTTGTTTGGTTATTAAATATTTTAGTGTATGTCCAATTATGTCAAGTTATTTTAAAGAAGTTCTTGAATATTGCTGGAGCTCTTTATGACACTCAGAATGCATTTTCCAGATCTTTGTGAAGTAATTGTTAAGATCTTTTAAATAATGCTGAGTATGAAAGCAGCTTTATTGGACAGCTAAATTACATCAGAAAATAACATGAAATGAGATAAAGTTTATGAATTTACATACCTTTCATAAGCTTTTAGCTTTTAAAGCAATACTACTTTAAAGTAGTTTACTCAGCTTTTGCCTTGTATTACTTGACAAAGTATGGATTAAACATAAATTACCAGTTTGGATGCTTCCTTTAGACACAGAATGTGGAGCCTTTATGTGAGGAGTGATCAAGTTGACCAACAAATTGTTAAAATAGATTGGATCTATTTATTATTAATTTTCCCCCCCTGTCATCAGCATTTGCTGTACCTCCTGAAGTTGCGTGGGGTGCAGTAATGTCAGTGCTAATTCCTAATTCCACAGCTGTTAGCAAACACCTGGACATGCTACACTGTCAGTGGCTGCAGGAGCATTGTTCACCCATCATTTGCTCTGTGGCAGTTGAATTTTCCTGTAAGAAAAGGGAAAAAAACCCAGCCCAGTTATACTCTGAGAAACTTGAGCATGGCTGCATCCATGGTATAACCCCATTATGGAAAGTGCTTTTCACTACTGATGATATTTTAGGTGTGGGTTTAGAGGCTTTGATCAGGGATTGGGACCTTATTTTGTGCTACATACTTCATAAACAGCACAGGCAGAAGACACTCCCTGCTCCAGAGCCTTGGAGAAGCCTCTCCACATCGTTCAGGAGCTGGATTTACCATTTCTAGATGTGCAGACTGCCCTGCTGCACTGCAGTATTTGCTGGGTTCCCGGGATGAAGGAGGAATGGAGAATCTGACTCCATGTTCTTAGAAGGCTAATTTATTATTATATTATATTTATTATTATGTTATGTTAATTATATATTATAGTATATTAATTATATTGATTATATTAATTATATTATATATTATATATCTACTGTGTATGATATATTATATATATTATATAGTATATAGTATATGATATAGTATATGATATATTATGCTATACTAAAGCTGTACTAAAGAATAGAGAAAGGATACTTACAGAAGGCTTAACAAGATACTAATCAAAAACTTGTGACTCTCTCCTGAGTCCAACACAGCCTGACTGTGGTTGGTCATGAGGTAAAACCAATTCACATGTTGGATAAACAATCTCCAATCACATTCCAAAGCAGCAAAAACACAGGAGAAGCAAATGAGATAATATTGTTTTCCTTTTTCTCTGAGGCTTCTCAGCTTCCCAGGAGTAGAAATCCTGGCAAAGGGATTTTTCCAGAAAATATCAGTGACACTGCACAAATTCTGTCTGGTGCTGGCAGGAACAGCAGCTCGGGCTCCTGAAGCCCAGCTCTGTCTCCAGAACGTGAATCCCTGGAGCTGCACATATGTGAGGGGGTTGTGTTGTGCTGATAGCCTCGTGCTTGTCATTTTGTTAACAAACCTGCCATTAACATGCCAGACACAAGGGGCTCCAGCTCATTTTCCAGTTTCCAGCCCGTCACAATCACCTTGATCTTTTGGGCTAACAGAAGTCAAAATATCTTCTCATCTCAATTTCTATTCGTTGTCACTGACTAGATAAAAACACCAAAAAAATTGAATTTTTTTAAAGAAAAGTGATTTTATCACCACATTTTTGAAGAAGAGCTATTCCATAAAAAATTTAAACAGTGTGGTTTCTTCCCTCCTTTAATATTTTCATTTCCTTTGTAAGAGATCTGGATTATCCCCTTTATTTTGTTATTTTTAGGACTAATGTACCATACCAAAGTAACAGACCATCTAGACAACCTAGTGCAGATTACAGCTAGCAGAAATTATCAGGGATGTTTGCTTGGGAAATGTACATGGAAGGAACATTTTCTCTGCTGTATTTAATAGTTGCTAAAATTCAATATAATGTACTAATGTTCATTTACAGTGTTAGCAACATGACAAGGACACAACTCTTGTGTTTTATAACAGTGGAATTAAAAACACAGCTACAAAAGCGTTTTTTTTCCCTACAAAACAGGATTTTTTCTGACTTCTATAAATGCATCTAGTAAAAGCAGATCTAAAGTTCACGAAAACTGTCAGGTATCTCAAGTGGTGCAAAGTAGAAGAGTTCTTATGTCACATCCATTTTAACAGCTGGGTCAGGAGAGATACTGCACACTGTATTTGTGAGCAGCTGGCTCCAGGTGTATTCTATATAGGTTGGCTTGCTGCTTTTTTTCTTTTTTTTTTCTTTTTTTTTTTTTTTTTTTCCTGGCTTAAGATTTAGACTGCTTTTAGAATGGATAATATTGGTTAATATGCTGGAGAGTACTGGCCGTTTGCTTTGAGAGCTTTTGCTTTTTCCTTGTTTTTAAGAGTCAAAAATAAATTCTCTTGCAGCCTCTCCATGGTGTTCTTAGCTCATTAGTTGAAAATATGCCTGCAGGGTTTCCTGTGAGAGAGATTTTTGACCAAAATCTTTGTGCCACTCGCTGCTGCTAACCAGAGGTGCTGTGTGTGCTGTGGCAGTTGCTGGTGTTCTGCACAGCTCACAGATATTCCTGCATTTGTAGCACCCAGCTTTGATCCTGCTGCTGTTCAGCCTGGTGGAACTGAGTCCTTAAGTGCTGGACTTTTTGGCAGCCCAGGCTGTCCCACAGGAAGCCCAGCACTCCTTGAAACACTGAGTACATTTTGAAGTGTGACTGACTAGACATTTAGACATTTGCCCAAGATTTTCAGGATAATCCTGTTATTTGTGCCTTGGTTTAAATCTGACTGAG